TGGTTTTATTCCAGGATTACAGGGTTGATTCAACATACACAAATCTATAAATATAATATATTACATCAATAAGATTTAAAAAAAAAAAGACCATATGATTCCCTCAGTTGATGCAGAAAAAGCCTTTGATAATATCCAGCATCCTGTCATGATCAGAATTCTTAAGAAATTAGGCAGAGAAGGGACATTTCTTAAAATGATAGAGGCCATCTACAGCAAACCCACAGCCAATATCATACTGAATGGTGATTGAAAACATTTCCACTCAGATGAGGAATGAGGCAAGGATGCCCACTGTCTCCACTGCTATTCAACATAGTAATGGAAGTCTTGGCCATCTCAATCAGGAAAGAGAAGGTGATCAAGGGTATCCAAATAGGGTCAGAGGAGATCAAACTGTCACTCTTTGCTGATGATATGACCCTATACCTGGAAAATCCCAGGGACTCAACTTCAAAACTCTTAAAAGTGCTCAAGGAATACAGCATCATCTCAGGATACAAAATCAATACTTACAAGTCAGTAGCTTTTATGTACGCCAACAATAGTGAAGCTGAGAAAACAATCAAGGACTCTATTCCTTTTACTATAGTGCCAAAGAAGATGAAGTATCTGGGAATTTACCTAACAAAGGACGTGAAATATTTCTATAAGGAGAACTATGAAACTCTGAGAAAAGAAATAGCTGAAAATGTTAACAAATGGAAAAACATACCATGCTCATGGCTGGGAAGAGTCAACATTGTTATAATGTCCATGCTACCCAAAGCAATCTACAGATTTAATGCAGTCCCTATTAAAGAACCATTGTCATACTTAAAAGAACTTGAAAAAATAGTACTTTGTTTTATATGGAACTAGAAAAAACCTTGAATAGCAAATACATTGCTCAGAAATAAGAACAAATCAGGAGGTATCACATTACCAGACTTCAGGCTATACTATAAATCTAAAGTGATCAAAACAGCATGGTACTGGCACAAAAACAGAGCAGTAGATTTATGGAACAAAATAGAGAACCAAGAGATGAACCCAGCTACTTATCACTATTTGATCTTCAAGAAGCCTATCAAAAATATTCAGTGAAGGAAAGACTCCCTATTTAACAAATGGTGCTGGGTGAACTGGCTGGTGACCTGTAGAAGACTGAAACTGGACCCCCACTTTTTACCATTAACAAAAATTGATTCTCACTGGATAAAAGATTTAAATTTAAGACATGAAACTATAAAAATACTAGAAGAGATTGCAGGGAAAACACTTGAAGAAATTGGCCTGGTAGAATATTTTATGAGGAGGACCCCCCTGGGCAATTGAAGCAACACCAAAAATACATTACTGGGATCTGGTCAAACTAAAAAGCTTTTGCACAGCCAAAAACACAGTAAGTAAAGCAAACAGACAACCTTCAGAATGGGAGAAGATTTTTAGAGGTTATGCTTCTGACAAAGGTTTGATAACTAGAATCTATAGAGAACTCAAACTAATAAATAAGAAAAGAACAAATAACTCCATTTCTATGTGGGCAAGAGACTTGAACAAAAATTCCTCTGATGAAGACAGGCTAGTGGCCTACAAGCACATGAAAAAATGCTCATTGTCCATAATCATCAGAGAAATGCAAATCAAAACCACTTTGAGATATCATCTAACTCAAGGAATATTAGCCCACATCATAAAATCCCAAAACTACAGATGTTGGTGTGGATGTGGAGAGAAGGGAACACTTCTACACCGCTGATTGGAACACTTCTACATGACCTTTTTGGAAAGAATTTTGGAGAACATTCAAGGAACTAAAAGTAGACCTACTGTTCAATCCTGCAATTCCTCTACAAGATATATACCCAGATGATCAAAAATCATTTTACAACAAAGACATTTGCACCAGAATGTTTATTGCAGGTATATTCATAATACCCGAGACATGGAAACAGTCAAAATGCCCCTTGACCCATGAATACATTAACAAATTGTGGTATATGTACACCATGGAATACTATGCAGCCATAAAAGAGATGGAGATTTTACATCTTTTATATTTACCTGGATGGAGCTGGAACATATTCTTCTTAGTAAAGTATCTCAAGAATGGAAAAATGTACACAGCTATGATTTAATAAAAAAAAATTTTAAAAAGAATGGAAAAAAAAGTATCCAATGTACTCAATACTACTATGAAATCAACATATAACCACTTACGCACTCATATGAATGGCAAAACATAACTATAGTCCATAAAGTAGAAGAGAAAAGGAGAGAGAGGGGAGGGGAGGGGAGATATGGGAGGTGGAAGGGTGTCTGAGGGGACCTCACCTAATTTGCATGATGCAATGATACATTTATTTCAAAACTATTAAGAAATGAGTATAATTGTGAAGGATTGATGGATGTGTTACTAAGTTCAATGTAAGCATTTCAGATTGTAAATCGAAGCAATACCCTAAAACCCATAAATGCATCAATCTACAAAGTTATGATTTAATAAAAAATTATTAAAAAATAAAATAGAACTTATGATAGCTATGTGTGTATAAGAAAAAACATAGTAATTATGGTTTGGTACTATGCGCAATTTCATGCATCCACTGTGGTCTTAGAATGTGTCCCCCATGGATAAGGGGAAAGTACTGTATTTTCAACAACATGATTCTACCCCAGTTAGAAAACTGGTGTGCGATAGATCAAATCAAGGAATTTAATGTTGTAGAGGAAGGCTGGAAGTTTTTTCCACCCTGTTTTTACCTGTATCAAAGCATAAGGTAGAAAAAAAAATCACAAAACTGAAAAATAAAAATGGATCAGAAAATTTAAAACTTAAAGGTTTCTGAATTATTCAATTCTGCCTACTTTTCCTTTCTTTTCGTAAGTTATTTCAAAAAATCTCAAGCTTACACCTTGCAAAAGTATGACTGAATATCCATATACCTTTTCTGAAGATTTGCCTATTTTTAACATTTTATCCCACTGCATATTCTTTTTCCTCCCTTTCCTCCCTTCTTACCTTTCCTTGTTTACCTTCTCTAGACTCTTTCCCTCATGTACCTACACATATATTCACTGTATATGATATATATGCACATATGTATATGCTTTTTTGCTAAGTCAGCCATAGGCATCAAGACTCTTCACCCCTAAATACTGTAGTTTCTGTTGTCTAGGACAAGTGAATTATCATATATAACTACAATATAATCATTATACTTAGGAAATTTAATATTGATATAACACCTAATATCTAATATAGAGTATATATTCAAAATTACCCAATTGTCTCAATAATGTTTTTCCACAACTTCTTTTCCTCAATCTAGGATCTGATCAAAAGTCACGTTAGCATGTACTTGTTATCTCTCTTTGGTGTCTTTTAACTAGAATAGTTCTCCAGCCTTTTGTTAATCGTTCATGACAGTTTTCATTACATTTTTGAAAAATACAATCCAGTTATTTTGCATAATGTCTTTTCAATTTGTATTTGTCTGATTGTTTTCTCATGATTAGATTCAGTCTGTATGCTTTTGGCTGAGATGTTACCCATGTTATGTTGGGTCCTTGTTTTAATTTATGTTCCATAAGACAGTAACTATCCCTTCAATGATTAGGAGAGACACAGATAGAAATTAAAGATATTAATACTTAGATGTCCTGGGGGTAGAGGGAGATTGGGTACATGGCATGACTGGAGGGCACAGGCATGGAAGGCAGGGAGTAAATAGAAAGAGTAACAGAGAGACCCATGGGCTAATGCCTTTACTGGGGTCCAAGACTTCATCCAAACAGATTTTCCATAGGGAATTTTAATTGATAGGTATAAAGCAAGAAAACATGTATTCCAGGAAGTTACTGTGGCACATCAGCACAGTTCCTGTGGGATATTGGGATCAGTAGGGCCAGTAAAGTAGGTTGTAACTAGCTATTGCATAGAGAGGTAGTTACTAGGAGGAAGTTATATAAGACAGATATCTTGATCGACTGTATTGAGAAACTGAGGGAGATGTACAAACTGAAAACTGTCTCAAGGATGACTAAGCCCTGCTTTTGTTATGAGAAAGTTAAATTTATATTCAAAAAGGATACCTGAAAAACATAAAATTCTAAGATTTACTATAATCTTTCTCAGATCATCATAGCAAGAGCCATATTAGATTGGTTTTATCACGTTATTGATGATACTAACCTTGATAACTTGGTGAAAGTGCTGTCTTCCAGGTTTCTCCTTATTCTTTCTTCTACAGTCTTTGAAAAAATGACGTTTGCTTCCATTAATTAATGTATCAAACAATTATTACTAATATCAGTAAAATGGTGTTACTGTGTTTCTGTCATTCTGTGCACATTTATTACTTAAAATTGTTAAAAAATTTTCTCTTCCCCATTGTATTTTGTAGCTTAGTATAAGTATAGATTTATAGATTCTTATTTTATTCAATATGTCATTCAGTTAATTTCAATGCTTAAAGTATCTAAGGTCTGGCCATTGGTAACCCTTCAAACTGGATTCTTCAGAAAATTAGTATTGGTGACTTTTCTTTTGAGTGTTGTAATTGGCTTCATAAGCATGGGAGGGTATGGTTTATAATCTACCATGATTTATAAAATTTTCAAGTGCCATATTTTATGTTCAAAATGGTCTTTGGGGGTATTTGTTTAATGACTTATCTTCATTCTCTCCTGGCTTCTCTAGTAGTCAATGCAAATGTTTGCCAGATGTTTATCATAGTTAGCAATATAGTATATGGTAGTTAAAGAGAGCAAAACTGACCTACTTGTAGACTGTTAACCCATAATTTTAGCCTTTATTAACATAATCCACTAACCATTTAAGATGTACACTATGGCTAGAGTGCTGTAAACTTTTACTTTTACAAAATTTATATTAATGTATGAACTTTAGTAATGCCCCAGAAAAACATGCTAGGTATCCTCTTATCACTAAGATTGTGTTATTTTAAAAAGTATCTCCCTAATTTTCTGTTTTCTATACACCTTGTAATTGTCAGGATTCAAACAGGTAAATTGTCAGAGTTTTTAACAACATCTTGCCGCACACATTTGAGTTTCATGGATCCTGGACCTGAGGGTAAGCTATACAGTGAAGATTATGAGGACAACTATGATGAACTGGAACCTGGCAATTGGATGACTGACTATGATTCAACCTATAATGGTAAGGACGCTTCAGAACGTACTGGCCTGGCTGGAACAAAAAAATACAAAATAATTTTTAAATTCATACTTAATGATGCATGCTGCCATCAATCTTATAGTGTAGTAGCCTCACTCCTCTTTAATACACCTAGATTTCTACTTTTGTATGGCTTTACTCTTTACACCTTTACTGACATTTGGTTTCTGGTCTAATATCCCTGTCATTACTGTGGGCTATGGAGCTAAATTATCCTTTACTCAAGTTAGGGAAAATTTCTGTCCCAGGCATTTTAAGTGTCTGGTGATTTTGAAATGGGAAGAAGTAGTGAGTGAGAGATATTTATTCAAATATGTAGTAGGAAAATTATGTATATATAGGACTGCTTTTTGATATTAAAAAACATACAAATATGAAATTAAATTAGAGTGCTTTTTGTATAATATTAGAAGGCCATACCAGAATTTCTGGAGATGTCTGTGTAGTTTGAAAAGGCCTGTTTTTTGTATCTATTACTTTCATATTACAAAACAGACAAAGCACAAAAATGTTGAAATCTAACTGGCTGCTGGGAATACAAAGATGATATAGTCAGAAAGCATTGAATGAAGCAATGAAGCACATTAATTGAATATGACTGAGAAACGCTGCCTTAAAGTGTTAAAATACTAACCATGCTGGGCAAGCATTACATTATTTGAATCCCAAAATAGAAGGGGCAATGAGAGAATTGCTTTTCTAGATATCTAAAACATGCTTTGCCTGCTCTCATTGTCTGGGTTTGACTGCTGGACTGTATCATAAGACAAGAAAATTCTTTATCTTAAGAGTAACGTGTTACAAAAAAGAAAAAAAATAAATTTGCTTTCCTCAGTGGTACATCATCTCATGCAACACATTAGCAGCCAGAAGGACTGTTTTCTTGTTTGGGCTTGACATTTACTCACAAAGTACCACTTCATTCACTCTGTATTTGTTTTTCTAAGATCTAAAATAGTTTGTATTTGTTTGTTTGAAAAGTTTATTAAATACAAGGCTACTTACTGTTATCAATAATAACCAAAGTTATAATGTCTGTTTTTGCATAAAATAGTTTGAAAATTAGATAAGAATGATTATATATTGGGATTGTTGTGATTTTCATCTGTGGCACTCATTGCCTTGGATTACTTTCTAAAACATATCCCTCTGATGATATGTATTACTAAATTTGATATTATAGCATTCTGGGTCACTTTTCTCACTTCTGGATTTATACATCAGTGGTCTCACAATGGGCATGTTTATTGCTTGCCACCCCTTCTGTGGGTAAAAAGCTTCTCTCCATATTCTTCATAATCCTCCACTCAAGTATATAGATTATATCCAAGTTTAAAATCTTTGTCATTAGGATGTCACTGAATATGAATTGCGTTCTTACAAATCTTCTGGTTCCTGTTAGTCACATCAGAACATAGAAAAGACATCTGGAGAGAACAGTGAAGATCACAAAGCAGATGACTCATGACTCACTTAATAGACTTGGGCATTGATCCAGATAATATGCCTTTAAACTGTAAACATTGTGAATATTCGTATAAAGTGTGAAATGTTAAGAATCCACATGTATATATTTTTTCCTTTACCCATATTCAAAGATAATGTTATAGAAGGTGTATTGAGAAGGGGAGCCCAAGAGAATGGAGGTCAGTATTGATCTTCTATTCCTGAACCCTCAGAATCTAGTATGCCACCTGGTACACAGAGCCAATAAATATCTGGTGAGGGAACAGAGCAAAACAGTGGCTTAGAGACAGCTTCTTTACAGCTGTGTATAGTGAGATTGAGGAGAAAAGACTCTAAGCACCTCTGGTTGTGGGGTCTGCCCACAAATATCCCTTTGGGTGCACAGGGATGCAGCAGGACACTTCAAGATCCCAAGAGGAGGAGGGAAGCATAATGAAGTGGCTTGTACTTGCATTGGGGAAAAGGTCAGCTGGTGTGGCCACAGAGACTGCAGTTGTGGCAACAGTTTGCAGACAGAGAAGGCCTGCCCTGCAGGGTTTGGTTTTTCGTGAGGGGGGAGGAGGAGGGCCTGGACACTTGTTTGAGTTACATTGGGAGAGCTTAAGTAAGCAAGCAAGTGATTTTGAACTGCACACTTGGGCTGGGACTGAGCCACCAGGCTGAGCACAGCTTTCATTATTGGCTGCTGGCAGGATGCAGCTATTGTGGGAAGGCTGCCTTGCAGTCTCATCCCTCAGGGTCCTAGTGTGAGGCCACTTCTGGTGCACCTAATAATCAGGGCAGCCCCTCCTAAGGACATTTGACTGACACACTTTCCTGGGTGAGCCACTGCATAGCCAAGGGACATGGTTTGGAAAAGTCAAGGTGTGTCTATTAAGTGGACTGAAGAGAAATTCAGGCTCCCAATCCTATGGGGATTGAGGGCAAAGAAGTCAGGAAGATGGTCTCCTTGGCAAGACAGGGGGTTCTAGTGTCCATCTTATACAACTGTATCAGCATTTTGATTAGAATCCCCCACCCCAGAAGATCACCTGTTGCCCAGGCAATATACAAAAAGGTAGATAGTTTTGTTTTCCTTTCTAAAACATTTTTTCAACTATATTCCCCCTAGATTTTTCCTTTCCATTTTTTTACTTCTTTGTTCTCTTCTAATTATAATTTGTCATTATTTTCTTCTTTAATAATACAGACTTCATTTTTGCTAGTTTTTCTGCCTGCATTATTTTTCCCAAAAATTTATCCCTTAAGGGTTTTATGTTTGTTTTATTTTGATTTATGGTGTTTTTGTTTTTCTTCTCATTTCCTAGAGGTAGGGTCTGGTGTCTGCTCAGGCTGACAAAGATCTCTAGACCTTAAGGGACCCACTCAACCCAGCCCCACAGAGGTTCAGATTTGGGGGTGTGGGTCAAAGTACCCACTAATATTCATCTGTCTCTCTTTCTGTTCCTCCCTTCTTTTAGTCAATATTCTCTTTTACTCCTGCTCCCCTCTCCTCTTTATTTTCACTTTAGTTATCTTTTATCCTTTCTTGCTCTCCACTCTACTCTTCCCTTTAGTCCATTACCAAAAAGATATTTCAGCACCTTAGGTCAGAGACATGGTAACTTAAAAAGCAGGAGGAAGAGAAAGGGAAGAATAGGGCAAGGAAACAGATAAAAGAAAATACTCATGAAAAATAAAAAGTAGAGGGTGGTGCCTGTGGCTCAGAGGGTAGGGCACCAGCCCCATGTACCCATGGTAATGGGTTCAAACCCAGCCCTGGCCAAACTGCAACAAAAAACTAGCTGGGCATTGTGGCGACCACCTGTAGTCCCAGCTACTCAGGCGGCTGAGGCAAGAGAATCACCTAAGTCCAGGAGTTGGAGATTGCTGTGAGTTGTGTGGCGCCACAGCACTCTACCAAGGGCAATAAAGTGAGACTCTAACTCTACTAAAAATAAACCAAAAACATTTTCGCAATTGTAAATTGGGCTGCAATAAACAGCCTAGTACAAGTGTCTTTATAATAAAAGGTTTTTTTTTTTTTTCCTTCTGGATAGATGCCCAGTAATGGGATTGCAGGATTGAATGGGAGGTCTAGGTTAAGTTCTTTAAGGTTTCTCCATACTTCCTTCCAAAAAAAATGTATTAGTTTGCAGTCTCACCAGCAGTGCAAAAGCATTCCTTTCTCTCCACATCTGCACCAGCATCTGCAGTTTTGAGGTTTTTGTGATATAGGCCATTCTCACTGGAGTTAGATGATATTGCTAAAATGTGGAAACAGGCTAAATGTCCTTCAATCCAGCAATGGATTGGGAAGCTGTGGTATATGTATACCATGGAATATTATTCAGTCATCAAAAAATGGAGATTTTACAGCATTTGTACTAACCTGGATGGAAGTGGAACACATTATTCTTAGTGAAGCATCACAGGAATGGAGAAGAAAGAATCCAATGTATTCAACTTTGATATAAAGACAATTAATGACAATTAATGACACAGTGGGGCATGAGGGAAGGGGATACCCAACAGAGAAGCAGGGAGGGGGTGTGGACAAGGAAAAAAAATAAGAAAGAAATTAGTGACTAATTCTTATATAAATTGTATTTAATTTTAACCCAAGTACATTACTTAAACATTAATTTTTAATTCAACATGTGTAAGTGAAATATGTTTGTAATTTCTCCTTTATAGTAATATATTTTCTCCAATTTTAATATAAGTTGTATCCAGATTATGTAGAATGATTTTGAAGTATTCCTTTTCCTATTGTCTAAAATATTTGGGATGATCTGTTTGTTTTGAAATTATCTTTTACTTTTATTTATAAATATTAGTTGTCTATTTTTTAAGACTTTGGAAAAAATAATAAGAAGAAGTTAACGATCAAAGTATTCTATAATAGACATACTTCTATCTGACAATGTGAATGTTACTTTCTTTGTATTATTACTATTGTTATTGCTTAATATTTTGTTGCAGCAATTGTCTGATTTCTTTTCTGAATGTATTTATCTTCATTCGTTCTTTATGACGTTTTTGTTCTCAGTCCTTAATGTTAAATATTGTCATTGTCATTAAATTTAGCCTTTTTAATTCTGTAAAGGCAAAAGTGGAAACATAATATGCACATGTATAAGTAAGAAAAATTAATTTAAAAAAAAAAGAAGAAGAAAAAGAAACAGCAGAAAAATCTTGGCAAAATGAAAAACCAGAGCAGAGGAAATCCCCCACAAGGGATTACGATGTACCTACCACAGAGGATTCCACCTACAAAGAAATGTTAGATGTGACAGAAAGGGAAGATGGATGGTAAAAACAACAAAGGAAATTCCTAAGAAAGTTGAAAATAACCAAAAGGAAATCCAAAAAACATATTTAAATAAGAGATGAATGATATGAAGAACAAAAAAAGGATATAGTAGAGCTGAAGGAATTGAAGCAGTCAATTAGAGAACTTAAAGATGCAGTAGAAACTATCAGTAGCAGATTAGACCATGCAGACGAAAGAACCTCAGAGCTAGAAGATAAAG